CGTCGCCGTTGTAGTCCGTCACGCTGAAGTAGCTGGCCTTCGGCCTGTCCGAGTGGGTTTGCGATGATCTCGCTGACTTCGGGCAATCTGCATCTCCGTACCAATGTCCGATTTGTCCACAGCTCGCGCAGCGTGTCGTCTTCTTCAGCTTGTCGATGCGAGCTCGCCGCTCGGGGTTCTCGACTGGGCTGCCCCTGCCACTGACCGCCGGCCTGCCCCTCGGGCTCGCCGCTGACTGCGATCGGTCTCCGCGACGGCGTCCTCGACTACGTCCTCGACCGCCGCCCTTGCCGTGGAACTTCTGCTTGCGCTGGATGATGGCCGCGAAGCTCTCGAGCGCCTCGTCGTCCATCTGCTCCATCTCGTCGAGCGTCGCCTCGTCCTCGCCAGGGTAGTTCTCGCACGCGTCGTCCTCGTTGAGGGACTGGGCGCCCTGGCTGTTCGAGGCGGCGTCGTCGTCTTCGTATTCTTCACCCTCATCGATGCCGGCCTGCCACGCCGACTTGTGCTGGTGGTGTCCGTGATGCTGCCGTCGTTGACCGAACCGCTGTGGCCGCGGGTCCGGCCTCTGGTCATTCTTGCCTTTCCACTCGCGCTCGTGAATGTTCGGGTGCTGCATCCGTAGGGCCTTGCCGAACGCGTCCTTGTCGTGCTTGTTGCCCGCGCTGCTGATGATGCTATCGTGGTCGGACTTCTCGAGTCCGGAGAACTTCAGCAGCAAGTGGGCCTGCAAGTCGTTGCTGATACGCGTCTCCTTGCTGACCTTCTTGAGGTCGTCGAACGCCTTCGAGCGCCTGGTGATATACTCCTGCATGCTCTCTCCAGGGGGCCCCCATACCGACTTGTCGTACAGCGCGCCATCGAACAACTCAGTTGCACGAGCGGGTCTCTCCTTCAGCACGGACTCGCCTAGGGTGGTTAGCAACAACTCCAGTCCGTCGGTAGTCGCATTCTTCTTCTCGTAGCTGCCGCCCCCCTTGCCGCCGGCCTCGACGGTCTCCATCTCGTAGGTGAGCAGCTGCTGGTGCGTGAGCGACCGGACCGCGTCGTAGGCGGTGCCCGAGAGGCCGTTCCTGAGGTTGATGGGCGTCGCTATTTGCTTCTCGTCGCCCATGCGCCCGTAGAAGGCGTCACGAGCTCGTTCTGGATATTCCTCGAAGAGTGCAGGACCGCCGTCGTAGGGCGGGATGTCCTCTTCGAACTCCAGCTTCGATACCCTTGACATGGTCACAGAACTGTTGCACACCGCGCTCGCTGCACGGCTGCCGGAAGATGTGATGGGGGTCGCAGTGGAACTGCTGCACACCGCGCGAGGCCGCGTTTCTGCCGGGTCGCCAGACACCGCCCAGGTAGTCCAGCTCGTGCGGGTACGCCAATCCCCGCGCCGTGGATGCCGGCCTGCTCCCTGCAGGCTGGCGCGCAGCCCCCGCCACGGGGCGCGCCAAGCAGACCTCCGCGCGACCGCAGCGGAGGCGGGAGCTGGCCGGGGCGAGTCGGCCAGCTCCGCTACCATCAAGTAGCGGGCCGCCGCCCGCGATCGTTTCTGGTTTTCTGCGCCGTAAACTCAAGAGCTCTGTGAACCAAATTTCAGCGGTCTGATCGGGCGAAAGAGGCAGTGGCAGGGGCAGGCTGGGAAAAGGGATGATCGCATATGCAAGTCAACAGAGGAGGAGGAGGAGGAGGAGGAGGAGGAGGAGGAGGAGGAGGAGGAGGAGGAGGAGGAGGAGGAGGAGGGAGTCGACCCAGATTAGTAGGTCGACCCTGCCAGCTCAAGGGCTCCTTGTGTCCTGTGCCTCGCGACGCGTGCCTTCTTGCACTTCGATGGCGAGGTGGCCCTCGGAAGGGTTTTGTGTTCTCTCGCGTGTCCTCTCCAATCAAGGCCGACTGTATGGCTGTTGGCAGAAATCCCACCTGTCTCCCACCTGGGCACTCGAGCTGCCGAAGGCAAAGGGTGCAACGCAACAGGCAGTGTGTAAGGCGCGCGCTCGCGGATCCTTTCGCATCCAGGGACCTCCAGACGCCTGGCGCGCCCGATGAGCAAGTCTGCATGCAGCACGTAAGGAAGGGGTCCCAGAGGAGAGTGGCCCGGGAGATTTTTTCATCTCCGTTTTTTCGGGGTTCGGAACGTCGGCGGGAAGGGAGGGGAGGGCCCAGCCGCCCTTGCCCCTTCAACAGCACGACAGCAGGCTGAAGGCCCGGTCTGGGAGGCCTTTGCCAGCCATGGGGCAGTCGCACATTGACTGCAGGTGAAGAGCTGGTCCTGGCGACGTGGTCAAAATGTCGTGCTCCACGCTGACGGGCAGGAACAGGCAGGGCCCTCGGCCATTTCAGAGCCCCCGGCCCTCAGAAACTCTTGATGTATCCTCGTCCTTGTTTCTGGTGTTCTCATCATGGATGGACTGACCCACCCTGTAAACAATCATCCCTGCTGGCCCACCTGCCCCCCAGGTGGCGGTACGTTCCTTCCGATTCGTCGTTTTTTTTTTCAATCGCGTTGACAGTTTTTTTGGGGGGTTATCTTATCCGTGTAAGTTTCCAGATAATTGACAATTCGAGGAGGGGGGCTACTGTGTTGATACATTCATATCGTACACAACGAACGTGCCGACTTTCCCTGATCGCATCTCGCCAGAGGGTCCTCGCAGCGGGAAGGCAGGGCAGCAGGAGAGGCCCACGGCGGGGACGAGAGGGCCCTGGGCCGCCCGGTCCTGCAGCCCTTTCGCCCGAGATGTCCTCACATGTTATGCATCGGGGGCGGCAAAGAGGGGGGTGATGAGTGATGACGCGGGGGGGGGGGGGATATCATGGCGTGGGCCATGATATTTCCCCACATTTCATGGCGCCTCTTCTCATTTCATTACGTTCCCGGCCCCCCCGCTGGGCCGCGCATTTGCCGCCGGTCATGATTTGCACCCCCCCCCTCTTGGACACCCCCCTCTTGGCCGCTCCCGAATGCAGGGCTGGTGCTCTCGCCTCAGTGGCGGCGACATGTTTGGGCCAGGCGGCCACGATCCCTTCCACAAGATTTTCCCAGTGAAGTGCCCGACCAAGCCCAAGAGCGAGTGCCGCAGAGCAGGCGGGACGAAGGTGGGGTCACGAAAGGCATGAGGGGGGCGTCGAAATGGGCGGGGTGGCGCCGTGCGGACGCGCGCTCGGGCATCTCGAGCTTAAGATCCAGATCAGTTCGGCCAGGACTCGCGCGCAAAGGAGGACCCGATCCACAACGCTACAGGGCACAATCGCGAAATGGCACATCGCAACTCAGCACGGCGTAGCACTGCACAGCCCTTGGCACGGTACATCAAGGTCGATACACTCAGCATTGCAACTGCCCGTCGCCCAAGCAGGTGTCTTGAAAACGTTGCCATTCTTCAGGTGTCTAGATTCCTTTCCGGTTTCATGGGGCGATCATGTTGGGGCCATCTTCGCGCTTACTGGGGGCCTTTTAACGATTATTGGAGGCCTCTTTGGGGCTTCGGGGGGACTTATTGGAGGCTTCTTGAAGTCTCCTGGGGGCGTCTCGGGGTCGAAGGCTCGACATGTAATTTGTTCCCCCTCTTGGCCCCCTGTTGGGCCCGTCCTGGGGCCCTCTTGGGCCGTCTCTGGCGTTTCTTGGGTCGTTGTGGGGCCTTCTTGGGCCGTCTTGGAGCTCTCTTGGGGGCCTCTTGGTCCGTCTTGGAGCGATCATGAGGGCCTCTTGGGCCGACTTCAACGCTGCGAAAGACCAAGACACGAATCTGCTGAACATGTACGTTTCCCGTGGGGATTGTGGCACTGTTTCCCTCTAGGGGCCCTCCTCCTCCTGGGAGCCTTCTTGGAGCTTCTTCGGGCATCTTGGAAGCTCCTTGGGCGGTAGAAAGGTCAGCTCTGGCGTCTTGGACAGTTCGTTTGACGATTCGGGGCCCTCTGGGGCCGTCTTGGGAGCATATTGGGGTCCTCTTGGGCCGTGTTGGGGCTCTTCTGGGCCCGAGAAAGCCCCTTCCCGGAAGGGGTAGACCCCCCCCCCTTCCCTAGTAGATCCACCCCGGCACCCCCCCCAGTAGAGCTGAAGCTCAGGCTGTAGCTTTTGTGAACTCACACGCTGGATCGGCGGATTTTTGGTTGACGTTTGGAAATATCAGCATGACCGAACACTAAGCCATTCCCGGACAGTGCAACAACAACTACAGATGGGACGACGCGACGGCGTTGATGCAGATCCAGCCAGACAGTATTGGTCGAGAAGACCGGGGACATGGACGATATGGAGCTTATGCCGCAGATGTAAGAAAACCCGGAGTGCTGGCCCCGGCTCCGCACGCCCCCCCCCCCCGGTAGTCGAGTCTACGCGCCTTCAGCCACGGCGGCTCCCCATGCGGCCGCGTTGGCGGTGACAGCTGCGCGGCATCTGCCGCCAAGAGGGTGCGGGAGGTGCCCAGAAATCCGATGTATAGTTTGTCTTTCATCACGAGCCCCCCGGAAGGCCCCACCCTTGCCCTGGGGCCAGCTCCTTACCCGGAGCAGATTTTCGGCGGCCCAGGAGCCCGACGACGGTTTCGCGGGGGCCGAGAGCGGCGAAACGTATTAAACGGAGCACCGCACAGAGCGTAAAGACGAATTGTCGGCGCGCGGATGTCGTGGGTCGGCGCTGGACTCCCTTTCCTGGCGCGCGGAGGGCGGCGCGGGAAGCGCCGCCATGGGGTGCGGGCGCCGACCCGAGGGAACCGCGCGGAGCTCGGACATATAGTATTCGATGCGCCTGTTTCTTCTTCCGTGGAATGCGTCGGAGGTTTTTTTTGGTATCGCTCGGACGTGTGCACTTCCTTCTCGGCGGGGATTATTAAGGAGCATCCTGGATCATCCTGCGAAAAAAAAAAAAAAAAAAAAAAAAAAAAAACACGCGCGAAACCGACAAAGACACAGGGAATGGACGTCCGAGCGATGGCCAGTTGGAGGCTTTGGGTGGAGGGCGAGGGCCCAGGGGCATGCGGCACGCAGCCTCCCTCCCCCCCCCCGTCCAGGACCTCGACGGGATCGTGCCGCTGGCGCCGCCGGAGGGGCCGTGGGGGTGGCAGAAGGAGGAGCTTTGTTCAGGAGGGGAATAAACACACAGACA